TTTTTTATCCTCACCCGAGGATATTTTTCCATTTTTTTGTACAGATAGAGTGGGAGGGAGAGAGAAGAAGGGAGAGAGAGAGAGAAACATCGAAGTGAAGAGACACATCGAGTGGCTGCCACCCGCACGACCAACCAGGGCCGGGGACAAACTGCAACCGAAGTACGTGCCCTTAGCGGGAACCGAACCCGGGTCTCTCCGGACCGCAGGCCGACGCTCTAACCGCTGAGCCAAACTGGTCAGGGCTACAATGGAACATTTCTTGGCCATAACCAAAAGAATGAAATCTTACCATTTATAACAATATAGATGGGTCTGGGTATTATACGAAGTGGAATAAGTTAGAAAAAGACAAATACCATATGATTTCACTGATATGCGGAATCTAAAGAACAAAATAAATGAACAAACAAAACAGAAATAGACTGGATACAGAAAACAAACTGAGTGTTGCCAGATTGGGGGGTTTGTTAAAGGGCTGGGTGATTGGTGAAGGGATTAAAAAGTACAAATTGGCAGTTACAAAGCAGTCATGGGGATGTAAATTATAGCATAGGGAATATAGTCAATAATATTATAATAAGTATGGTGTCTGATGAATACTAGAATTATTGAGGGGATCACTTTGTAAATTATATAATTGTATGCTGTATATCTGAAACTAATATAAAATGATATTGAATGTCAACTGTAAATGAAAAATAAAATAAATTTAAAATTAAAAAATATTTCTCCAGCCCTGGCCGGTTTGGCTCAGCGGTTAGAGCGTCCGCCTGCGGTCCGGAGAGACCCCGGTTCGGTTCCCGCTAAGGGCATGTACCTCGGTTGCAGTTTGTCCCTGGCCCTGGTTGGTCGTGCGGGTGGCAGCCACTCGATGTGTCCCTTTCACATTGATGTTTCCCTCTCTCTCTCTTCCTCTCTCTCCCTCCCACTCTGTCTGTACAAAAAATGGAAAAATTTCCTCGGATGAGGATTAAAAAATATATATATATATATTTCTCCAATCAGACTGGCGAAATTCAACAAGATTGATATCATCTTATAGACAAAGGCACACTCATGTATGACATTAATATCATCAAGGAATTTCAGACAAAGACATTTTTTACAGTATTATTTATCATATCAAAAAACTGGACCACATCAGTGTTCATCAGTAGAATAATGAGCCCTGGCCTGTGTGGCTCCATTGGTTGGGCATCATCCTGTGCATCCAAAGGTTGCCAGTTCAGTTCCCGGTCAGGGCACATGCCCAGATTGCAGACTTAATCCCTGGTAGGGGGTGTGCAGGAAGCAGCCAATTGATGTTTTGCTCTCACATCCGTGTTTCTCCCTCCCTCTCCCTTCCTCTCTAAAAATCAATAAAAAATATTTTAAAATAAATAGAGTAATGAGTAAATAAACTGTAAGACACATCACTATAGAACATAATGCAACAATTACATTTAGTAGCTGGATTTATAATATGGAGGTTTATGAGATGGTAAGAAGAAAATATGAAAGTTGAAGGACACAGTATGTGGATATTATATGGATGCATTCTGTTATTCAAAAAACTGCACAAGCAGAAGCAAAAGATAGTCAGCCACTGTTTCATAGATGCTGGCAGAGGATATGAGACTTCCGGGTCAGAGGCTACAGATGGTTTGTTACTTACAGGTACAGCATAGCCAGAGGGCATTTCGAAGCAGTCCAGGTAATGGGACCACATGCAGTGGGGTGTGTTATAGGAGAGAAACCCTGAATTTAGGGAACCCAAATATTTTATATTGAGCAGTAAGTCTGACTTGCCTTATCTTTATTATAAGGGAGGGAGACATTATCTTTATTATGCTGCACAATAAAATATAAAACACAAAAAACATCTGCCCTTTGCACTGGAGGTAGACACTGTCTCTACCTTCCAAACCTATTCACTACACAAATATCCTAAAATATAGTCCTGAAAAGGCATTCAGGGCCTCTTTTCATAAGATGTGTGGTTACATGAAAGACTCATGTAGAATTCCACGAATTCTCAACATTCTATTGTCATTTTCATTTTGTGTAAACAGACAAAAAAAACAATAGCTGTCAGTTAAAATGTTATTTTATTTAAACTTATAAAAATGAAAATGTGGATGCTGTGGTCATCAAATATCATAAAAAGATATATCTTTTTATGCATATAAGAAGATTTTATTGTGGCTGATAAATTGCTCATTCTATGCTCATTCTACATGGTAGAAAATGGCTGATAATGATTGTTTTATGTAATAAACATTTCTTATCCACTTAGAAAAATAACATCCAGACAGATCACTGGAATTTTTGACAAAATTAGGGAGAAGGTTTTTTTAATTATGTAACTTTAATGATAGCTATTATATGCATCATTTTTTCCTCACACATTTTCACTGGGAAATTGTTTTTAAAAACAATTACATGTCAACATCTCAACAAGACTCTTTTACTCTGTGAATCCATACCACCTTTCTAGGAAAGTATAATTAAATACTAGATATTTTTAAGCCAAACTTCCAACTTCTTCATTTTGCTATTAAAGAAACTGAGGACCAGAGACGTTAAGTGACTCAAAGGTAGCCAACAACTAGTTAATGTCATAGCTGAGACTAAACCCCACATGCCCTGACTTGGAGCACAGGCTCTTTCTTCTTATCCAAATCCACATACATGATCCGATAGAGCTTTCAAACTGGGGTATGCATACCCCTGTAGGCAATGGCAGCGGGCCAGAGAGCAAGCCACAGGATAAACACAGGGTGTCTTGCTTCAATGTAAGTATTACTCAAAGATTTGAGGAGAGTTAGGGGGAACCACTTTATTTTTATATTAAAATGAGATTGATTATAAAGAAGAATGTATATTTTACATGAATTTTTAAAATTTCAGGCTGGATTCCTCAGGCCATAATCCCACTACAGGGAGGTAAAAGTTCTCTCTGCTCACCCTGCCAGGGATGCTTCTTTTGCCAAAAATTTTGTGCCACCAGTGTGAGGAGGTCTAGGAAGAACCTTTCATCCAAGAAGAGCCTTCACTAACCTCCATCTTTCACATCCCATAATTAAATTTGCATTATTTTAGTCTTCGTTAGTTAAATTGTGAATTTTTTCTTGAGGAGGGAACACATTAAGAACTTATAACAGCCCTGGCCAGTTTGGCTCAGCGGTTAGAGCGTCGGCCTGCGGTCCGTAGAGACCCGGTTTCGGTTCCCGCTAAGGGCGCGTACCTCGGTTGTAGTTTGTCCCCGGCCCTGGTTGGTCGTGCAGGTGGCAGCCACTCGATGTGTCCCTTCACATCGATGTTTCCCTCTCTCCCTTCCTCTCTCTCCCTCCCACTCTATCTGTACAAAAAATGGAAAAATGTCCTCGGGTGAGGATAAAAAAAAAAAAAGAACTTATAACAAATGAGTTATTTTCCTAAGAACAGAGCTGGGTTTTGTTTTAATTTATTTTTTCCTCTTATTAATCAGCATAAGTTTTAAAGATTTAAACAAAAAGTCAAAGATAAAAAATTTAATGTGATCTTAGTAGAAATTAGCTGGTTAGTAGTTTACTTCTGTAAAATACTCTAAAAGAATTTTGCTTATGATTCTAATACTCACATTTACGTAATGAATACAATTGACCAAGTACGAGACATGTTTCCATGTAGCATATTTATGAATGATATCTGAAATGCTGTAACACATATTAACAGCCAAAATGGGAGACCAAAGGCCAGTAAACTATTTTATACATTTTCTTAGTGGACCATTCCTCTCATCCGACTTTTATTTATGAGATAAAAACCATTTAAATAGTAGTTCTCAGATTACTGATCTCTCCACAGTAACTTGGAGGACCTTTTAACCCACCCAGCCCCACCAGGCTGAAATATTTTTCAGAAGTACTGAAATAGTGTGTGTGATTTCTCCAGTGACATATTTTTAATGCTCCACTTAACACCAGAATTTTTATATGCAAGTAGCCTGACACATTTCAAAACACGGTACTTAATTCCTAGATTTCAAGTTCAAATTTGGAACCAAGAAACCAACTCCTTCGACTGAATCAACAATTGCGGAACGCAGTGTTAGTCCCTAACCGAAGATAGATAGTGAGGGCACAGACAGAACCCTGCCTCCGACGTTTCCCAAGCTAGAGGGGAACCAAAGTCATATAAATAAGAACACAAGGTCGTTTGCGCCAGAGGTACCAGTAGAGCCTGGGGAGACATCAAACTGTAGCCAATTTGTGGCTAATCGTACCCATTTTCTGCCAGAGGAAGTACTTCTCAGCTACTGAACCAATATGTGCTTACTCTTGGCCAATACAGTCAGCAAAGTGTTCATTTCTTCCGTGCCCCGGAACCTGGGGGTGCCTTGATACCGCCACCCCATCTCCGTTCCAGGACCGAGTCTGGGGTGAGGCACCGGCCTTAGCGCAAAAATGTCAACGTGGCACCAGAAACTCGACAAAATAAATCTTAATGCATTACTTTTTGCAAAACGTCCATGATGAACAAACCGTCAAAATTTTAAATAAAGACAGGATCGACAGAACTGATTTTTTCCTTTTGTCTCCAGCTCCACTCGGATTCCGCCACAGGGCACTGCTTTCCCCCGCATCTCCCCACATGGCCAGTGGTCACCAGGCTCATCTAATTTTAAGAAACCGAAATTTCCTGATATCCTGATCTGAAATCAACAAAAATATCATTATTGGGTGACCGCCGTTGGGGTCCCCTGACCCACTCTGGCATAACTGATCACCTGCTCAGCTGCATCCGCAAAAGCAGCGCGCGCAGGGGCGACAGGCGTGTGGCCACGCTGCCACGTGGAGGAGCTGCAGGACCACACGCGCCAACGTCACAGAAGTCAGGATTTGCCTTCAAATCTTCCCTGGTTTGGATTGGCTTTTGGTCAGCGAGACTGCGGTAACTGTTGGTAACAGTCACAACAGTGAGCCACGGGCCAGACTGGGTCAATCATAGGTGCCACTGGCCACCCCGGTGTCCCGATGACCTGGAACGTAAACCATCTGCCCCGCGCCTTCCAACCTACTGCGACCCTAGCGAGGGCTCCGGGACCTGCCCTGGAGACCAGCAGCAGGGTAAGGGGCACCCCCTCCCCCAGACCAAGAGCCCTTGAATCCCTGCCCTAAATTCCCAGCTGGCCAGAGGCTACCCCTGGGGTCTGTGGTGGAGCAACGGGGACCCCAGACTTCCACTGGAGCTAGAGGTCTGTACTCTCTCAGTAAGGTTTGGAGGCTGCCCTGATCCGCATAGTGTGCTGACACTGACCTCCTCCTACTCACCACCTGCTGCATGTGTAACCACAGCAGTTTAGAGACCAGATAACAAAGCGGTAGATTTGGGTCTTGACTCTCCAACCTACTACACCTATATATGGGGGTGAACAAAAGTAGGTTTACAGTTGTTTGCATGGAAAAATGCAACTTGATTAATAAATAATATTACAAGAATAAACTCTGGCCCTGGCCGGTTTGGCTCAGCAGTTAGAGCGTCGGCCTGCGGTCCGGAGAGACCGGGGTTCGGTTCCCGCTAAGGGCATGTACCTCGGTTGCAGTTTGTCCCCGGCCCTGGTTGGTCGTGCAGGTGGCAGCCACTCGATGTGTCCCTAAAACTCTGTGTTTTGTGTGCTCACAAAAATGTTTGCCCAACCATGTATAGTAACCCCCTGAAATGTTGTTCCCCTCAAGTGCAAATTGAGGAGGGAAGGTTCTCTGATGAATAATAGAGTTGAAGGCCGTTATGATAATGACTTAAAGAATAAACTTGTCAAAAATGTGCAACATAGGAGCTAGCAGTGTTCTAGAGTGCTGGGACTTCGGAAAGGCTTGGGACTGACTACCCTGAATAAGCAAAGCTGAGAGTCCTGAAACGCACTGAAAAGTCCTAACTAACCTGTGGAGCATGTGTGTTACATGACGGTATAGGAATTTATCTATTAGGACAGTATGTAAATCAGCAAAGAGAGGATATGTTCTTCTATAGATCTAAACACAGGCTTCATTCTTCTGGGATATGATAAGCCCACAATTTTCAAACTTTTTTTTTTTTCCTGTTTTCTCCAAATCCTAAGGCATTGGGCAGAGAGGGAAGCTGCTACTATCCTCTCTGCTAGAAATGTCCACACCCAAATTCTGTGTTGGATTGTTTTTCTTTTCCTGGTCTGTTAACCAGTTAATTTGAAATCTAACATTTTTTCCTCATCAGGTTACTGGAATTGCTCCCCAAATTCAATACCTTTCCTGGGTAATAACCTCTCCCACCCTATACAACTGCAGATTTAATTTCTACCTTCTTGAAATTCACCCGCTCGGTTCCCACTGTCTTTTTGTTTCTCCTACTGACTTTACCACTGTCCCCTTACCAAGCTTGGCTCGCTCCTCCTCTTTCTAAAGGTAAATACTTCACAATAATCTTACCCGGGCCCCACCCAGTCCTCTGCCCACCCGGACATCTGTGGTGAGACCCCCTCATCCCTTGCAGCTTTCCGCTGGACACCTTGACCTGTTCGTTCCACCGGCACCTCAATTTCAGCGTTTCCAGGCTGAATTCATCCTCCCTAACAGACACCTTCCTTGTTATCATGTCATCACATTCTCATCATCACCTGTGACTTCCCTTGCCCCTTTTCTCTGCCTCCAGCGACTTGCCAGTTCCCGCAGCTGTCTGTGTACACCCCATGCCATGTCTGTTCACTGCTCATCCCCACTTGCCGTGTCCTAGGGCAGGCTCATCAGCTCTGGCTTTGATTTTCCCGAGGCAGCCGCGCTTCCTGTCTGCGCGCTCTCTGCGCCCCAGGCCATCACACGTGTCGCTGCAAGTCATCTCCATGAGGCCTGCGTTTTTATTTTTCATCCTTTCTCCAGTTTAAAAATCTTGTCCTACTTCTCTATTGCCCCAAAATTGAGTCCAGTGATTTTAAAATAACTTGATAGTGGATATTTTTTAAAAGCTTTGATGTCATGGGAAAAACCAGAACTTTGTTGGACTTACACTGATTTTACCGTGCAGCTAGTTTATATCATATATAGTTTTGCATATATATGTCTGTATGTCATAACATTAAATTAATTTAAAGTCATAGATTACATAAACTGTGTGATTTTAAGTTAGAGTTCTTAGACCTATAAAAGTTTTGCTTGTACACGAAGTATACTCTTCAAGCCTAAATTTCAAAATTAGCATGAATAATGAGACCCCAAACCACCTTTTTTATTTCTCACAATTGTCTTCCATGTGCCTTTCACTGTGGCCAACGGCAGTACAGCTCTGCGCTCTTCGAACTCTCTTCCCGTGTCTTCTCTCCGCACCTACTCCCCTCTGGCCAAGACATCCACCCAGCAGTATTCTATTTCCAACTTCTTCTTGCCCTTTAAACCCACCTGTCAGTCCTTCCCTGCAATCTCAGAGTTCCCCGAATGACAGCAATGTTTTCTTCCTCTGAATTCAGCAGAGCGTAGTGTCTTTGCATCAGAACACTGAGCACTTACACCTTCCTTTACAGCATGGTGCCCCTCACCCCTCCTCCTGGAAGCTTTGCCATGTAGAGTAGTCACCTCAGCTGATTCACAGCTACATTTTCCAGCCAGTCACAGACCAGTCACAGCCCGAATTAAGCACTCAACAGTTTGTCGTGCAATAAATCATTGAAGTATCTGTTTGGACCTACTACTTTTTGAATGCTAATCTGAAACAATGCAGTATGTGCAGCTGCTGTGGGAAAATAACATGACAGTTCCTCAAAAAATTAAACATAGAATGGCTATGTGATTCAGCAATTTCACTTCTGAGTATATACTCAAACAAAGCTAAAGCAGGGACTCGAACAGATATGTGTACACCCATGTTCATAGCAGCATTGTTCACAAAAGGCAAAAGGTGGAAGCAACCCAGTGTGCATTGATGGATGAACACAGCATAGTATTAAACATGCAATGGAATATTATTCAGCCTTGAAAAAGAAGGCAATGCTGATACACACTACATAGATGATCCTTGAAGATATAATGCTAAGTGACATAAGCCAGTCACAAAAGGACAAAAACTTGTGATTCCACTTGGGTACCACCTAGGGTACCCAGAGTAGTCAAATTCATAGAGACAGAAAGGAGCAGGGTGGTTGCCAGGGGGTGAGGAGGTGGGGCGATGGGGGATCATGTTTCATGGGTGCAGAGTTTGGGGAAGATGAAAACTTCTAGAGATGGGTGGCGGTGATGGCTGCACAGCAACGAGAATGTGCCTAATGCCACAGTGAAAGCGGCAGATTCTCTGTTATGTATATTTCACCACAATAAAAAAACTAGTTCAAGAGAAGAATGCTTGTTGTGCGTCTTTAGATGAAAGAAATATTCTGCTAGTGAAGTTGTGTGTTGATTGGAAACTGGAACAGTTCCATTTTGGATTCAATGAAACTTTACACTTCCTGGCACATCTCTGTGTTCTTTGGCACTTGGCATTAATGCATGCTACCAAATTCATATGAAATTTTTGGTTGGAAAGAAACATACCATGATAAAAATCTGTGTAAATAAATAATTGATTAAACCAGTGGTTTATAAATTATGCTGATTGTTTCCATTTCCCTTTTCATCTCTTCATTTTCAAAACTTGATTTTAATCTTTAAATAGTCATTCCATGGCTAAACTGTTCAAAATGTATATTAATTTCTGATTACTAAATTAGTATGTGCTTACTATAAAATAGTCAAACACTATTTTTTTCTTTGTTATCTTTTAAAAATTTTTTTGAGATATAATTTTTTTAATTAATTTATTTTTGTTACAGATGTTTCTCCTATTTTTCCAATTGATACCCTTCTCCCCATCCCCTACACCCCATCCCCAGCTTTGTTGTCACTATTAAAAGGTGTATTGTTTAGCCCTGGCCGGTTTGGCTCAGCGGTTGGAGCATCAGCCTGCGGGTTCGGTTCATAAGGCACATACCTCAGTTGCAGTTTGTCCCCGGCCCTGATTGGTTGTGCGGGTGGCAGCCACTCGATGTGTCCCTTTCACATCAGTGTTTCTCTCTCTCTCTCTTTCTTTCTCTCTCTCCCTCCCACTCTCTGAACAAAAAATAGAAAAATGTCCTTGGGTGAGGATAAAAAAAAAGGTATATTTTTAAAAAGTGAAAGTCCCCCATGATCTCAAGTGCTAACTGTTAACAGTTTGGAGTGTGTGTATTTTATGTGCATATAAATGTCACTGGTAACAGAAATATTGTTGCTCTTACATATATACTGCCAATGGCATTTTTACTTAAAATATTTTTGATATCATTATATGTCTAGATATCCATCTCTTTATATTTTAAAACTACTGCACAGCATTCTATTATGAAGTTACATCTTAATTTAACCCATATACCAATTAATGGGACATATTTCACAACTCTAATAATGTATGCTGAAGTGAGCAATGATACTGTGTGTGTGTGTGTGTGTGTATGTACTACTGTGTTTCTGGGTGCTCGATGTGGAATGGCGGGATCAAGTTAAAAGCACATTTATAATAGATAGCTGCAAAATTTTAATTCTACTTCCCCTGGCCTTTAACATCCCAAATACTTTGGCACAGTTGTGATTGTGTATAGTAGAAGCTGATAACTTAGATGTTTCAGTTACAATACTCAGATGAAGATATGTAAGCCTCATGTATTGTGTTTTTCCAAGTCCCAGATTCTGCTTGCTTGTCAGGGTAACAAAATACCTTGATGAAAATGCCTATACCTGAGCCAATGAATTCTCCAAGCCTCAAGATTCATTGTGTAGCAGGGTAACTAAGAAAGTTTGGGACAATAGATTAGCAGCTGCTCCCCAACCCTAGGATATCTACCTTCATCACTTCTTTAGATAGTTGCTTATCCCATTAAATCTAACTCCTCTTAAAGTTCTCTACAAAATAACAAAACCATTGTCAAAATTTCATAAATCACTTACTGACATTACAACCTCACCACCCACAACAAATCCCAGCTGAAATTTGGTGATTGCTTTGACTCTGATAATTACAATGTTTGTCAGATTCCAGAAGTGCAGCGATTATACTTTCCACTTTTGTTGTGTCTTGTTAGGTTTATTTGTTCATGGAAAATTATAGTTGGGCTTTAATTCTTCCATATCGTCTTAGGCCCTGTGGCCTATAAATGTTATTTTGTAATTTAGCAAAGGACCGCAAAAGAAAAAGCAAAGTATCTAAATAGCTGTTGTTGGATTTGTATTTTCAAAACAAAGCCTATGGGAAAAAAAATTGCTTCTTATTCACCAAAAATTCCCACGGTGCATGTATGTTAGTAATTCATGAAGATTGAAGACATGATTCCTTTGCAAAGAAAGGGAAGTGATATTTATTCACGCATTCATTTGTTCATCTGACATTTGTTGAGAATTTACAGGGTGCCACGCACCCGTATGATAATATACATTATATTTTATTCCCTTCACCTCCAACCTTGATACTGAGTGTCTTCTGTAAACACGGAAAATCTACCAAATATGAAATCTTTGTGTGTGAAGGAACAGGTAAGAATATTTAAAGACTACATTACTCTATCTCATAGAGAATCAAAAACTTTTTTTGGAGTATATGTACACACATATTTTGTCTCTTTGATTAAAAATTATTTGCACATCTGAGCCCAGGATTAAGGATAATGAAATTCAACCACAAAAATGATTAAATAATATATAATTGTAGCGTTGGAATTTATCAGTTTAGAGTGGTTCCCTCCATATTCACCTTTCCTTTGATCTTGCTGTAGATGTTATTGTTATTGACTTCAAATGTCTCCGTATTTTTGCTCAGTGGAATGTGTCTTGACAGAGTAATTATATGTTACAGGCAGTTGAAGATCAACTAAAGATATGTGGCCACAAGAGGGACGCTGATGTCTTTGAGCTGTTCCTTTCTCAAAAGTAAGTGTACTGTATGTAAGAAATAGAAGAGTATTGATTATAATGTTTTGCAGGCTCAAATGTTCTTTTCCAGGGCCCACCGCCCCGCCCCCCACCCCGCCATGCCAAGGACTGGGTGGGCATGTACCACACTCTAATGACTTTACCACTTATTGCAGTCACAGCATGTTGGAATGGATGAGAACAAAGATTATGGAGCTAAGCTAAATTTGAATCCCAGCTCTATCTCTTCCATCTGGGTGATCTTTGTCAGATTTAGCAAATAAAAATATGGACTATCCAGTTAGATGTGAATTTCAGAGAAGCAAATGAATATATATATATACATATGTAGTATATGTATGTCCCACACTGCATTTGTTGTTTCTCTGAAGTCCACAAACTGGGCATCCTGGGAATCCATATAACAACACTACCTGCGTCCCAGGGCTGTTGTGAGGAGTAGGGGAGTTAGTGGTGGTGGGGAGGGCCTGGTACGCAGTGAGCACTTAATGAGCATTAGTTCAGTTAATATCATTGCTATTATTAGAGAATAGCGACTCATTATACCCCTCTGCTATAAAAATAGCCCCTATTATCATAGAACTCCTAGCTAGCAACCCCTATAATAATTTTACTGGTAAGTGGGAAAACCTCTCCTTTTTTTTTTTTTTATTAATTTTTGTTACAGATGTTTCTCCTTTTTCCCACACTGATTCCCCCCTCCCCCTCCCTCCCTGCCCTTTCCCCAGTTGTTGTCCATGTCCACTGTTCGTGCACACATGCATATAAGCTCTGTGGTTTATCTCTTCCCTGCCACCCCCCTATTAGGGGATTGTCAGTCTGTACCCCACTTCTGCGTCTCTGGGACTACCCCATTCCTCAGACTGTTATGTTCATTATATTCCACAAATAAGTGAGATCATATGAAACTTGTCTTTCTCTGTTTGGCTTATTTCACTTAGGATGATACTTTCCAGGTCCTTCCATGTAGTCTCACAGGATAAGAGGTCTTTCTTTCTTACAGCTGCGTAGTACTCCATTGTGTATATGTACCACAGCTTTTTGATCCATTCGTCTACTGATGGACACTTGGGCTGTTTCCAGATCTTAGCTATTGTAAATAGTACTGCTACAAACATGGGGGTACATATATTCTTTCTGATTGGTGTTTTTGTCTTCTTAGGGTATATTCCTAGAAGTGGGATAAAACCTCTCCTTTTTAAAACAAGCTTCTTTGATTCCACTTCAACTCCCCAAGGTGGCACATAGCAAAGTCACCGTGCTATGGAGAGCAGTCGCTGTGCCCGAGATAGAAGCCAGGTGGAAGAGGAAGCGGAAGTTATGGGTTGGCTTGGACTCTGACAGCACAGTGTTCACTAGCCAACAAGTGACACCTGTGCAGTCCCAGTCTGCATTTGAATGACAATGACCCTGTTCCTGTCTTCCTCCCTTCGTGCTTTTTAATCTCTGTGAATTCTATGTATTAGTTTAAAATAGGCTTGCTATATTTCTACTCACATGTAATCTATATATCTCAGTTACTCTTTAATCAATAATAAAGTTGATCACTTTACCTCTGGTAATTGGAGGAAATCCTTTATTAATAAACATGTTTTCTGTTATATATAAATATTTTTTTAGCTTATTAGTGCAAAGAAAAACATTTATCTTTGCAGCAACCCTGAATCTCTTAGGAGCAAGAAAATAGATAGCTGGCCAATTTAAGATTTTTTAAATGATATATTTTAGAGTGGAACAGGATGGAAGAAAATTCTGACACACTTAGGATCATACTTTGAACCTCTGTGGATCATTTAGTTTTACAATAACAATAAATATTTTATGTGATCAAAAACTTACACCTCAGCCTTTCATGATTTTAACAACTGTACAGTGTTGACCTAAAGGGTAAGTATATTACAAACAGAAAAGATTTAAAACACTAGAAAAAATTATAAATATTGATCTTCTGACAGTGGGTAGTTAATGGTCTTTTCAAATAAAGGACAGCACATTTTATATCCTAAGAAGACTAAGTTGCCATTTAATCCATCTGAGTACAAAAAAAAAAAAGTTTCACAGTCCAGAGGCCAGTAAATTGGGTTATTTGCCTGTCTCTGTTTGCCACTGGAAAATGGAAAGCATCTCACCAATGACTCCTTGAGTCATCACTGAGAACATATACTGCAGCAGATGTTCTCTACATATACCAGGTAATAAACGTAAAAAGGAGAGCTTGCAAACTTACCATTTTATAACCAACTCGACTGATTCAGGTAAAGGTCACCCACAGAAGCTAACGCTGTCGAATAAAGAGTTATTAGGTAATGAGATATACACACAGTCTCTGAGTTTTGCCACACATATTAAAATGTGTGCTTTCATAATGGAGAGACCTGGCAGACATAGCCTTAACCCAGTGACCGGACTTAGCTTCACCGACAGTGGGACAAAAGAACATCATTTGTCTCCTGATGTGATGCAGTAATTACCACCTTTGTAATTGAAAAATGATCCACCTTGAATTTAATCACAAGGAAGCAATCAGACAAATCAATAATGTCAGACATTCCATCATACCACTGTCCTGGACTCTTCAAAAAGTCAATGTTAAGTGGAAAAAAGAAGAGAGGGTGACTATTCTAAATTTAAGACTAAGGGATTATACCAACAGAAAAAGCAATGCCTGGATTTTAATGGGATTATGGATTTAAGCAGATAAGCTGTAAAATGTAAGAGGCAACAGAGACCATTTGAATATGAACAGCATATTAGATGATATTAATGAATTCAACTTAATTTTCCTAGGTATAATAATGGTATTGTGGTTATGCAGGGGAAGGTCCTTATCTAAGGGATGTTCATGAAGCATTTAGGAGTGAGAACCCTGCAATAATAAGTCTGAAACTTATTTTCAAATGATTCCCCCAGAAAAGTATCCATCAATAAATAGATATAATATATGGTAAGAGAGAGTATTAGTGTGGCAAAACATTAAAAATTATAAGTTCAATATAAGCATTCATTGTACTATTCCGTCAACTTTTCTTAGATTTGAAGTCTTTCAATATAAAATATTGGTGAGAGAGGTTTCTTTTTTTAGGAATGTTTACATGGCTTAAAAAATATATTTGCTTAAAAATTAGGAAAATAACCCTGGCCGATTTGGCTCAGCAGTTAGAGCATCAGCCCATGGACAGAAAGGTTGCAGGGCAAGGGTATGTACCTGGGTTGCACGTTCGATCCCCAGCCCCTGTTGGGGTCATGCAGGAGGCAACCAATCAATGTGTCTCTTTCACATTGATGTTTCTCCCTCTCTCTCCCTTCCACTCTATCTAAAAAAATCAATAGAGAAATACCCTCAGGTGAGGACTAACAAAAAAAGGAGAATAATTAGTCCCTCGGTTACCCAAGGTTAAATATAAATGTGAAAGGATGTGCTACAAATGAGTTAATATAGGTAACATTAATCGACAATATTTTTAAATGGCTTAGAAAAGTACTTTGCACACAGAATGTGCTAAGTGTTTGATAACTGGAGATATATATGTATACGTACTCAGCCTGGGCCCGCAGTTTCTGCCCTGAGTAATAATAGATCTGAATACCAGCCCTCAGCAGTCCCTCAGAAGCCGTCCTCTTTGATGGCAGCTCCCCTCCCCACCCGTGTCTGTCCCTTAGCTGAGTGAGCTGCACCACTCAGTGAGGGGCAGCCAGGGTCCTGCACAGTTCAAGAAGGATGGGCAATATTTTGACCCCATATTTGATAAAGAGCAAAGGGAGCATAAAACACTTGACTCGGTCCCTGTCTCTTGGTGGACTGCAATCCCCATGTCTTAAACCCAGTCTGGCCAAGATCTGGACAACCCCAAAGAAAGAACCCTGCAGACACGGTTGAAGCAGAAGCTGGTGGCATTTCCCACTCTTACCAGTGAGTTCAGTTCTTCCGCACGTTTATCCCTCTCCCCTCTGCCCAGTAAAATCTTTTTCTAATTGAGATCCCAATAAATTAAGTCCTAATGAGGTATACATTTCTACTAATATGATAAAATGCTCCCCCTTTAAGTATTTGTTTTAACTGGCTAACAAAATCTTAGTCCAAATGAATGAAATTTTAAAGATGGTATTTTGGAAATTAGCATGTAAGTGTGTCATTTTTGAAAGGACAGAGAGATTTATTCAGTTACTCCAAAGCTATACTAAATATCCTACCTTACCCATAACTGGACTAATCACCACTGATGTTTACGTTCTTTTTCTTTTTCAGGGAACTGACAGATGTTATTGATCTTTCTAGGTTTAAAAAATTAAAGTACTTATGGCTACATCATAACAAGGTAATATTATATTTTATCTTTAAATGGCTCAATAATTAAGTTACTATCTTGACATGTTTTTAATAGAGCTAATCTTTAAAGGCATTGTTTTATATACCTAATTTAAACTTATCGAAGAAAGTTGGTGTGTACACGTGTACTATGTTAAAGCGCACAACTTGTGAGATGTGGTATGTCCTGCAACTGCTCGCGTCCTCCGCGTGCTGTCAGCTGCTCAGTGGCGACCAGGCTCCGGGAAGAAACCTCGGGCAGCCTCATGGCTTTTCCCATCTCTCCTGTCATTCGAAACCTTGCAGTTCATCCGCATCATAGTCATAGTTCAGAAATAAGAATGTCTAGGAGAAAATAAATATATGTATATATATTTTTTATTCTTCACCCGAGGATACTTTTCCATTTATTATCAGATAGACTGGGAGGGAGAGAGAGAGAGACAGAGAGAAGCATCGATGTGATAGAGCCACATCGACTGGCTGCCTCCTGCATGACCCAACGAGGGCGGGGGACAAACGGCAACCGAGGTACATGCCCTTGCCTGGAATCGGACCTGAGACTCATTGGTCCTCAGGCCGACACGCTAACCACTGAGCCAAACCGGCCAGGGCTCTAGGAGAATATATTGATCAACTTTCAATCTTCATTCACAAATGAGACATCCCCCGCCTTCCCTCCCATATCTAGCTAGGCAGGCGGCCACCTGCCTTCTTTGTTAGCTAAGGAGGTGTGGTGGGCTTTCCTTCCCTCTCACCTTCACCCAGTCTTCTCCAGGACTGATGTGCAATGGGGAGATGGGGAGGTCAAGGAAAGACAAGGGAGAAACAGTTATTTGATTGACACCCACTACTAACAAATGTTCCACATTAAGTTTTTTCTCTTGATGGGTTATTCAGAAGTTTCCCTCCTAGGTCACTCCAACTGTAACTCCTCTCTGCCAGCCACTTCTGACCACCCCTCACCTTTTATCCCGGTGGCACCTGCAACTGAGAGCCTCCTGGCCTTGGCAAAGCACCTGCTGGGCAGGACCCTTGTACAGTGCTCCAGACAACACTCTGCAAGGGCCTGCAGGCAGCTCCCAGGACTACACAGCCCTGTCCTGCTGTCGGCGGCAGAGGGGTTGGTCACTTCCCAGTTGCTACCCTAGCTGATCCAGCTCCCTCCGGAAGAGCCAGGCCCTAAGCCACCGTGTCCCCAACTGCGGGAAACACCCTTCCAGGTCACGGAGGGTGGCCCCTGAGGCTTCTCTCAGAGGCTGGCATTTAGGAAGCCACTCCCTCCCCCACGGTGGGAGCCTGAGTGGGGCTCCCCAGTCACTCCCCAAGTCAAGGAGCCGGACTGAACCGAAATGCAAACCCCGTCTTCGGAGTTTGTCAGTAAGTTGGTTCTTCTCAACTTTCAAAACTTTGACTTTCCAACAGCTTTTATGTTGCTCATTATAAGTTTATTATCCAGTCTTAGCATTTTGAACTTAGACTTTCAAACACCAGCTGAATTTTTTTTTAAGTTCTTTCGGCGTTTCCAGCAGTTGTATGCTTGTCAAGCCGTGGTCCAGATCCACAGCACTGAACCTTGAAGCAGCCACGTCTGCGAACGTATTTCCATACTACACTGCCTTTGTGGTCTTCTTTTCGCCAACAAGTGGAAAGTGGGAAAAGGAAGTGCTTCTAGTGTTAAGTGTAAGCACAAGTCTCGGACGCTTGAAGTAATGCCCGGAACACAAACACAAACAGCTTCGACCGAAATGGAAAGCGCACCACTTAGAGGCATACAAGTTCAAACTCTTCAAGACACTCTGCCAGCAAGTGTCCGGGGTCACAGTGTGCGACTGCTGATGAGAAAAAGATGGAAATCAGAAGGCATGGCACAAGTGACTAATCTTTGTTTTCCGTGTGCGCTCCTTGTGGTGTTCAGTTTGGAAGGAATGGACATGTCCAAATGTTGGCAGTAGGTCTAAAGGGAGAGGTAATTAGGGATTTTGTAATTTTTTTTTTTTTTTTTTTGCATTCTGATAGTGGACACTGTCCCACCTCCAACCAATCATTGAATGTTCACCCAGTTGACTGACAGATGCTTTATGGACATAGGAAGGGAATTGATACACTCAACTATTTTACATTCTTTGTTTTTGAAGAGGGTTGGTGGGAAAGGGTTACTACAACAGGCAGAATTCACTTCCTCTACTTGGTTCTTTATGTTCAACAAACTATATTCTTTCCAAAATCACCACCACTTACCTTTGTTCTTTAAAAAAGAGTTCTTTAGTCCAAATAACATTAGAAGGATAGCATACCCCAAATAAGTTTAAAGTGGGCGTGGGGTAAGAGTTTTCCTATTGATCAATAATTGATTAGTTGCTAAGTTACCTTACTATTCATATTCAATGAAAAGTTAAAATTCTTATTTAAGATCCAAAACACTAATGGGCGTATTAGCTACAGTAGTACCTCCTCAGAGGGTGCTTGCTTCCTCTGGATATTTTCTTGCCTGGATGTGAAGGCAGGATTCATCCTACTAGCTTGAGAATGGATCCAACACTTAGAGAAAAGCAGAGCCCAGAGAATCATTAAGAGACTGAGACCGAGGCTCTCACAAATACTGGACTTGTTGGCATGTGACATAAATATATGTTCTAATTATGTACCAGTTTGATTTGAGCTTAGAAGTTAGTGGGAGCCAGCAGCATCCTGTCTGATACGACTTATTCTGATAGAACATAACAATGACTGTAATGGGACCTGCTCTCTTAAGAAAAACAGGAAATGTAGAGGGAGCGGCCGTGCTGCTGGTGAGGACCTGCACTGCAGACCGCCTGCGATGGACCGAGAGAGCAGCCGTCTGGGAGGCAATGCACGCAGCCTGGTGTGCGTGAGCCCTGCGTGCTAGCGGGAGCACTTCTCCCTTCGGTTGTCGAGTGGGTGATAAAACTGGAACTTCTGGGCTGACCCTGGACTAGCACACCACATAGGTACAGGTTGTTTCTAAGGACCTGCGATGCCCCGGCAATCCTGGTTAGCTCTGGTAACTCTGGCTCCTTCATTATGCTCTCCGAGGGCTGGTGGTCCCCTCACACTGCACAGATAGTCACCAGGTGTGCTTCTCCTCCCTTGATGGCCCCCTTTTCCCGTCTCACCTGTGTAATTAGTGGGAGGCAGCTGCACTTCGGGGCGCATTTCCTGAGGCCTCCCCAAGACTCCCTCCCGTGTCCCATCTTCTGGAGAGGCTGGGCGAGGGACTTTTTGTCCATACTTTATCCCTTCCAGTTTCTCATGAGAAGTTGAGTCTGCTCAGACAAGTGAGCTAAGTGATTTCTTTTATATTACAATTAAGTTGTGTTTGAGCTCATTACCTCAAAATAGTTTTTTACAGATATTTAATAATAAGCCTAAAATATTGATAGCACAATGCTAGTATTTTCCTATTTCTGGAAGAACTAGCAGTACTTTGGTATTTGTCTCAGATCAGAATAAGCATTTGATTTTTTAAAAAATGTCAAATGCCCTACCAAACAGCTGTCCAAAATGGAACCTGAGCTTCTTCCATGTAGTAAAAACCAGTTGACAAATCTTACAAACTAAATTTAAATAAAAATACTTCTTGTGGCAAAGTCATTGTTTATAATAAACTTCATCATCTAAAAAATAATGGAAATACTTATTTATCATAACACTTTCCACCCACACTGACTAGAGAATGATTAGATTAAAATAAAATGCTTTAAGAAAGATCCTGAGCCTATTCTTCTGTGTCGCTCCGACACGTTTCTTATCTCCCATTTGGCACATGTTGAAAATCTGGTACAGAGCACAAACTTACATGTTTTATGAAGAAATACTGGTGTTCAAGATTAGAAAACCACAATTTTAATACCGAAATACTTATTTTTAATGTGCTATTTGAAATATTTGTAAAGAGTTCTTTGAATGGCAGTACTTGTTTTCAGGTAGCTTTATGAACCATGGAATTTTAATTGGTTCCTTTAATCAGGTTTGAGCATACATATTTTAATTACTCATTTGTGTAGGTACACTACCTTGTTCCGAAAACCAATTTAGAGCGGCACAGACCCACGGGAGAGTGTAGGACCTGTGAAAGGACACAGCGGAGTAGCGTGCATTCCCTGACACTTGAGTGCTTGTGTGTTTCTGTTACCGCAGGGCACCATTAATTCCATCCCTCCTGTCAACTTTGTTGAAAGAATTATATTTTGCCAAATATTTAAAACCTTCTCAAAAAAGCAAGTCAACATAAATAACCTAAATAAGACTTCAATGCGTGGTTGTGAAATTCACGGATATGTACATTACATATTTGGTTATTCTTAAAAATGATTTATCTAAGAAATGTAACCTGTTTTTGGAAAAGAGCATATATAAAAACTTTAGTAACATGGAATAAAGAGGGAAAGACCTGAGAATAAATGTCTGTATAAAAATAGTTATTTCTAATATATTTTAAAGTATAGATTATATTTTTAAGTATTGTACATATTTTAAACTAAGCTACACATGAAATTCTTTTTAATTTATTGGACAGGAGCACCATAAAAATGAATTTAGGAATCTTGGAACTATATGGCAATTTTTCTTTTTCTCCTATATAATTGTGTGTGTTATTATAATTCTCCCCAACTAACATTTAGAATTTTATGTAAATTTAGGAAATATTGTGATTTTAATATTCAAACATACATAATAGACCCTTTTAAATAACACATAATTTTAGAATTTTTTTAGAATTTTATTATATTGTTTAATCACTGATAGGTCTTTGCCCTTAGGTTTGAACCTTGGTACCAATGACTTCTTGAACTGGATGATTCTGGGTTGTGGGGGCTGTTCTGTGCATTTGGGGATGTTTAGCCGTATCCCTGGCCTCCACCCACTACATGCAGAAGATTTCCCCTCAGAAGTGACAACTTAAAATATTTCTAGACATTGACAAATGCCCCCTGAGGGAAATTGCCCCCACTGAGAATCACCCAATTTAGCAGACATAGTAATCTA